CCCCAAAACCCCAAAACCCCAAAACCCCAAAACCCCTAGTTTAGAAATAAATATCGAAAATATCCAAAATGTCAAGAATCCTGCTTCTTTTGGCCCTAGGTCTTGTCTCACTGACACTTTGCCTTGAGAATATTGTGACTGAGAGAGACGATGGGAAGTTTTATAAGAGAAATAATATTTTTATCTTGAATGATAGAAATCACCCAAGTTTTGTGAATCTGTATAAATACGTGTTTGTGTATTATAAGGACCAAGATGGAACAGACGAGGACTTGGAGATTAGAGGGAAGTTAGAGGAGTTGGCCATAGCACTGGAGAATATTACACCTAAAGCCTTTGTGGCAGAGCTTGACTTGAGCAAAGAAATTTTTGTAGATGAGAAGGAAATGGGAGTTAGGGAAATTGTTGGAATCCAATCTACTCCTCACTATAAGTTCTATGTAAGCATGAGTAGAGGGTTTGATTATAAGAGAGATCTTAAGATTACAGAAATTGTGAGTTATGTTAAGAGCAAGATCACTCTGTCATCTACTGAAATCACAACCATGGACGATTTTGAACAAAATTATCACTCAAACAGACCTCTAGTCACCTTTATTGGCGAACAAGGGACTGACAACTATAATGCTTATCAAGAAACAGCAAAGCTACTAATGTATGACAAAAACCTAACATTCACACATGTAAACAGTGCAAACCTGAACCCTGATTTAGCCTCATCGCTAGGAGTCACTGGGCCTATTAAGGATTACATGATCAAAGTGTTCAACCCGAATGACAACTCTGCATCATATTCAAAGCCAAAGGTTGACCATATAGAGTTGAAAGACTTCATCATCAACGCTGCCTTTTCAGACTACGCAACAGATGAGTTGCATATCTTACAAGAGGATACTTTTGCGAAGATTCTGAGCTACCACAAAGCCTTACTTCTATTCTGTCCAGGCACAGATGAGGCTATGACCAAAGAGAGTGAACAAGTTGTCAATACTTTCTTGCCCCAGCTTGACACCATTGGACAGAGCATCTTTGTGTTCAAAGCAAGTGAATCAAAGAAACTCTTGAATATCCTAGGCCTCGATCTTACCGAACAACCTCAGTTGTGGATCATGGATTTTAGGGACCTTGAAAAAGATCTTCAGAGATACAAGTTCACAGGTAATACGATCAGCTTGCCTTTGTTGACCTCTTTTTATAACGGATGGAGAGAAAACAAGCTTACTGTGTATTTCCCTCCAGAGCCTAGTAAAGGAGGAGATTATGAAAATGGAGTTCTCAGACTTGATCAGAATATCTTCTATGACGTCATTAGAAACCCAGATTTTGAGACAATGGTGTTCTTTTATGTGGATAATTGTGATGTCTGTGACATGTTCATGCCTATCTATGAGAAGGTAGCCATGGAGTTGAAAGGGGTCAATCAGATCAAGCTTGCTAAGATCAATATGAGCATGAATACTCTTCAGAGACAAGCTGGAGTTGAAGATAACACTAAACTTCCGAAAGTCATGTTCTATCCAAAATCTCATCTGGATACAGGTCTTGAGTTCAATTCTGGAGTTCAAGAAAAAGATATAATTTCTTTCCTGTATAAGCACAAGACTTTAACAACATCAGAGGACGAAGAAATAAATGATGATTTGTAATTCAATCAAAATAGACTACCTCGGGGTTTTGGGGTTTTGGGGTTTTGGGGTTTTGGGG